ACAGCTATTACTGTCAGGAGAGGTTTAGTCAAGAGTCTCCTTTCTTGTCGTTTGAACCCAGGACACAGCCTTTGCCTGGACAGTGTTTGGCCCTGGGGTCTGGGAGTGAGGGTGTCGCAGCCGCCGACACTCTTCACCTAACCCTCAGCGGGGATTCTGTCTGCCTTCTTGTTTTGTTTTGCTTTGGCTTTAGTTCCAGCAGACTTCGGAGCATGCCCTCTTCTCCTGCTCGGTGGTCGATGTCTTCACCCAACTCAACCAGAGTTTTGAGATAATCAAGAAACTGGAATGCCCAGATCCTGCCATTGTGGCCCACTACATGCGGCGCTTCGCCAAGGTAATGCCCCTGCAGCCTCTTCCCTGGCGCTGGGCTCCTCTGTGTGGGCTCCGACTCCCTTGGTGGTGCCGCTCATAAAGAGTTGGGGGTAACGAGGCCGATCTCCTTGCAGACCATCGGGAAGGTGCTGATGCAGTACGCGGAGATCGTCTCCAAGGGCTTCCAAGGCTTCTGCTCCAAAGAGAAGGTGGTAAGTCCTTCCACTCCACTTGTTCCCAGGCGTCAGGTGGGCAACGTCCTTCTGCTGCAAAGCTTGCAGGGGAAACCGCCTGGCGCTGCCGTGGTTGTGGCCTGGCGCACCTTTCAGCCAGTCTTGATGGAGGCGCTTCGGTGTGGCTTGGTGTATCAGCAACCGGCATGTCCCTGAGAGATCCTGGGGAGCTTCCCACAGGATCCTGTTGAGATCCTATTGCCGACCGATTTCCCCAAGCAGGCAAGCCACGGCCGCCTTGACCAGGTCTCTGTACAGACAGAGCAAAGCTGTTGCAGCTTGAAGGGATTCAAAGCACCAGGCAGTATCTCTCCCTGCTAGCAGGAAGGAGCAGGAGGCGGCGGCTGGAGCCTTAGCATGCCCTCGGGAGAGGGGCGAAGGTCTTCCTGGCCTGGCCGAGGGTCCATTGCCTCCCGTCCCCTTGTGAGCCAAGAGCCCCAGAAGACTGTTGTTCGTTTCTCCTGGCAGAATCCTGCCCCCAGCCCTCCTGAGGGCACCGTGCCCTGGGGCGCACCTCTTCCCGAGTCCTCTCACCTGCCTCGCCACCCAGGAGATTTGCCAGTTGGGTTTCCTTCCAGCCACTCAGCTGGGGCTTCTCTGCCAAGCAGTAGGAAAGCCGGAAAGAGGGACCTGTA